TTGAGGGGACCCTAATTAAGGTCGTGTTATGTTCTTATTGAATGATTGTTGATATCTACAATGAATAGTATTATTATGTGTGGTATCCACTTACAGAATACATGACTACATATCACAACCTTAACACTTCACATACACAGGAGGTCGCCCTTAGCGGTCCTAATAGGACAGACAAGATAGCTGAATGCTCTGAATCTCGAGCATCTGACCCATTCACAAGGACTATCTCCAACTCTTGGCAGTTGTAATAAATAACACTCAATATTAATTATCAAAATCTTCATTGTCACATTCCTCACTAGACACAGGTAATTCACTGGTCACTTGCATATCCGAGTTCGCTACAGCCCCTTCTTCACTGTCTTCACTGGATATAGTGACATCAAGATCTATATTTTGAATCTACCAGACGTCGCAGCATCACATACAGACCTTCCTATTTATGTCAGTCCACCAACGATCGAAGAAATCAAGATGGCCATCAGACTAATATACCAGCTGCAGCACTGAAATCAGACAGAGAAGTTACTGAAAACTTGCTTTACGTTCCATTCAGGAAGATTTCGTAGGAAGAATAACTGCCACCGACATACTGGAAAGAAGGACAGCTCATCATGATATTGATGGAAGGGGTTATAAGCAAATGTGAGAACTACAGAGGTAACACACTACTGACAGTATCAGGAAGGGTTTTCTAAAGAGTATTATTGAACCAGATAAAACATTCAGCAGAAGTTCAGCTTCGAGATCATCAGGCTGAAATTAGCATGGATCGGTCGTACACAGATCAAACCCCGACACTACCGATCGCTGATGGACAATCAATCGAATGGAGTTCATCACCATACATCAATCTTCTTGACTGTGAGAAGGCATTTGACAGTGTGGATAGGAGAACATCATGGAATCTTCTTCGACACTATGGTGTGCCCGAGAAAATCGTCAACATCATACGGATTAATACGACGGACTACAGTGCAAAGTGGTCACTGGAAGACAACTGACAGACGCATTACAAGTAGTAGTGTCAATTATTATGTTGAACCCATATAAATTATTCTAGCTTCTTGATAGGCCAACTTATTTCTTCTTCTTGTGTCACGTTTTGACCTTGTTAATTATTCAATTATCAAACCTGACTGAGTGTGTGTGTGTACATCTTATCCTACTCATCGTATGTCAGTAGCTTATTTTTGTGTGACTATAAATATTGATTAACGCCTGATTAAATGGAATTAGCTCACACGCCTTCTCCACTACGCGTCATTTGGCTTCGCTCTCTTCTTTTCGCTTCATCACTTTCATTTGTTGTCCAGATCAGTGAGTGTACAAAATATATGTATCCTAAAATCCATTCTCGTATTTGTCTTATTTCATTCCATTATTTACCAAACCGATTTAATTCTATCAAATATATGAGGATCGGCCGTATGTATATTACCAATAACAATCAAACATATGATATAATTGAAATCAGATCACGGGCCACTAAAAAGTGAAATCCGGAGTCAGACATGGCTGCCTACTCTCATCCTTCCTCTTTCTTCTGGTGGTTGACTGGATTATAAAGACCTCGACATTCAAGGGGAAGTACGGAATACAATGGACTGGTCAGATGCAACTGTACGACATGGGCTTCGCATATGACCTGGCCGTTTTATCCCATACACGTCAACAAAAGCAATTCAAGACGAACAGTGTAGCTGTGGCTTCTGCATCAGTAGACTTCAACATACACAAGGAGAAAAGCGAGGTCCTCAAATACAACACAGTGAACACCAACACAATCACCCGATGGAAAAGCCCTGGAAGATGTGGAAACGTCCTCTTACCTGGATAGCATCATCGATGAACGAAGAGGATTGAAGAACGTATAGAACCCCAAACAACTGTATGCAAGCCAACATCAAAGTCAGAATCTTCAATACGAACGTCAAGACAGTTCTTTTGGAGAACTATCACAAACATCATCAAAATGGTGCAAGCTTATCTAAACAATGGTCTACATAAGATACTCAATGTCCACCCGTTGGACATCATCAGCAACAACCTACTGTAGGAGAGAACAAACCAACTTCCAGCTGGGGAGAAAATTAGTAATGGACGCTGAAAGTGGAAAGGAAAAAGATTGAGGTAATCATCAAACGGTCAATGGTTAACTCGGCTTTTGTGATTTTGTACAAAGGTGTAAAAAGGTATATAGCAAGGTTTATTGAAGCTTTAGACATACAAAAATTCAAACCCACTCTGTGTTTTCAAAAACAGTTTGTTTTCACCTTAAACCTACCCTGGTAATATTAGCTTATAATGATGAGGTTTCAAATTGTTTTCACATTAATATTTTCTGTATTAACCTTCTCTCCTCTTACCCTTCATTTATAGTCTAGTTGACATTCTACGTTTTATATATAAATGTTCTTAACAAGTATATTATGAGTGATCAGATTGTTCGTTATGTTTATTACCTCAATATATCATCATATAGTTCTGATAATTTTCGTCTTCTCATCACACTACCAAAATTTATCAAAGGGACTAATTGTTTTAAATTTACCATCAAAGTTAAAAGTCGATTTACAAGACCATTCACTAAGAACTGTGAACAGTTTCGGTAGTCAAAGTATGTTGCAACAGTTAATAATCTAATCACAAATTGAAATTATAATCTGGATAAAAATTCACATGCTACTTAGTGCGTTTAGTACGTGTCGCAAAATGTCACAAAATTTATCTGCTCTACATCTATTCATAGTTTATGTAGTTACATTCAGGTAATGGTTAATCTTGCTAGAGATATGATTGGTTAATATACATGTGATAACTCTTTTTTAATGATTCGTTTTACTGACATTTTGTATAAAAAGCGTGTTGAACTACTAGATACGTACGTTACAAAGCTTATTCATTTGAAGTAAGTTATTAATGGTCTATTGTTTAGTGATGTTATCTGAATTCCATTGATATGTTTTGTGCATTTAATACCATCTGAATGACATCTCCACTTGGAACACTATTACAGTCCTTATTTACTTGTTTGTTTGAGTAAGAGACTTAATATTAAAGACCTAAAATAGACAGATTTCTTTTCGAGGCAGATGTTATATCCAAAAAATCATCAACGATCCTTCAAACTCCATGCTGGTCTACGAATTACATCTATTATTTCATGGTTAATAGTCTATTATCTGTAATCCGAAATACAATATTCATAATATACCCACATAATGATTCAGCATGCAAACTATCTGAGGTACACCATAGTGGACGGAATGTTTATTCAATAGTACGATGTACGTTTTGAAAACTGATGACCACATTACATAAATATGACTTACTGATAAAAGTGAAAGCTACAGTTAAACATTAAGAATTCCATAAGACGGTAAACACTGTGAAGTCCAATGAATTCAACAAAACAAACGGGCTAGAATAATATGAATTCGTCACATTTTGTAGTTTCTCATCAGCTGCTCATAACCATATCTCTATTGAAATGTAACGTTACGGTGAGATATCATGTGGAACAATCGACATCGATGCTGGAAAGAATTCGAATACCATGAGTCGATTTAAGTTAGACCACCAATGAAAACGTGAATGCATCGGACGACCATTTCGTACTAGTATTGAATACCTCAGTAGTGCGCATTCACGATGCTGCACTCCGTACTTGAACCCAGTACCTTCGGTCTCTCACGCAAACGCATAACCTCCAGACCACTGAGCCAGCATCCAACTATGTTAGTGTCTAGATTCAATCGATCTATGATCATGCGCAACCCTTCATTCGTTGTATGAAGTGTATAATTGTCTCACAATCGACATGAATTGTACTCCACTGATCACCTCTTTCCACTAGAGCTCTAGGAAATTCAAATCGATCTATTCACTAATGAGTACATGATTGTTATCTAAAAGCGGATTTATGAAGAATGTATCAACGTTGATTGTGAACAGTTGTGATATCATTTCTACAAGTTGAATAATAACAGAAAATGCCTTTATGATTTATTTAAGTAGAAGATACAAAGGAATTGAAAACGAGTAATCAAATCACTTATTGATTTTCACAGTTAAATTCATAAGTAGATGTAATGTAGATCACTGTCTCTAACCTGGATGCAGTAGACAAACTTTTTGTCGCAGTATGGGACTCCTCAGCAGTGCACATCCACTGAAAATATAATTAAAGCACGGACAGTAACGAAAAATAGTAATTCACGTAATACCTCACATTAATGCTACATTCCAATACATATGTGGTTGTCAGCGGCTGATGAGAAACCACAAAATATGACGAAAGCGTTTTATTCTGCTTCAGTTTTTTGGCCTGAATAATTTAAACGGATTAGTCCTCGATTAATTATAACGAACAATCCTTATGCTGGGCAAAGTCCAATGAAGTTGATGTTACTGAATGTAAATTAAAATAATACAGACAAATTCAAGTGTATCCAACTAAGAGCAGTGGAGAACATTCTTGTGAATTCATGTAAAACGCAATGTATATATTCGGTGGAATATGATTAACAATGAATTCAGGAAAAATGCTTCGTTCAAAATGGTACTCGTCAGCCGGATGTACCTGCATTCCAGCGTCGATGTTCTTTCTGCATCTTGTATCCAATATCGTTTGCTGCAAACTCCATTGCGTTATGCATTTATCTACTGAGTTCAAACAGCCGCTTATTTGTGCAACATGTATGAGTTTCAGTTCAATTTGAAATTGTTCGAATTATTCCACGGTTGAAATTTGTTCAGTCTTGATTGGCAGATAATTTAACCTGTGCGAACTGCCCCAAAATAGGCATGATTCCATAATTTCATATAGAATTGATCGAGTGTGGTTAGTGGTGGAATCCAGGATTTGCTTTTCGACCTGTTTGGTATGTTAGTACATTCAACTAAGAATGATCAAACTTCCATTAAAACATCAACAGCAGGATTATGCGATCCATTACCATCTAATTGTGCATATTGGAAACATTTAACTTGAAAAAATGAAACATTATAAAGTGGACATAGTAAATCTATTGGATTTTCAGGTGGTAATTTCATTCGTCAATTTCTCAGGTAGATCACTAATCATTCAGAAGCGTTGAATTTGTTTATCATATAAGTTTTAAAACTTCGCTTTGTTTATGCGTTTCTATGTCATGCAATCACAAATAAATGATAGTAATCTATTCATGTGATAAACAAGTGGCTTATATGAAATCGATCATTTTAAACTAATCTGGAAACTAGTTAGTTAGACGAAACAACAGCCTAAAAATTAATTATTGACGAGTTTTATACACATTCCATGTCATCAAGTAGTATGGTGTATGGTTTACTTACTTACTTACTTACTTACGCCTGTTAATCCTAATGGAGCATAGGCCGCCGACCAGCGTTCTCCAACCCACTCTGTTCTGGCCCTTCTTATGGTGTTTGGTTACTAATGATAAATCATTACTGTCTTTCATTTAAAATGTACGGAACGCCAACTAAGGTCTTTTAATAAAACATAGAATTGAAGTCTCATCGTAATGTAAAGTGAATGTAAAAAGACTTTCTCAAAATTAAAGTCATCACATAATTTAAAGTCTCATGTTACCCGCATTCATCAGCTGTTATCTTTATTCAACTATCACATGTGTTGTTCAATTTTCTGTGTACGGATCCCGTGTGTGTGATCGTGGGTGCGCACTGCTGACGTGTTCCATACTTGAATGAAACGGTTTTCCAATGAATCCAGGTTTATGATGGTAGTCTACAGTAAAATTCAACTGTTCAAATCAGTAATTAGTTTAATTGCTCGTTTACATTTCCTTTATATCTTTTACTTAAATAAATCATAAAAGCGTTTTCTGTTATTATTCAACTTTTAGAAATGATATCACAACTGGTCACAATGAACGTTGCTCTAGTTCTTTTATTCACATTCAATATGATGAAGCTTGAAGCATACACATATTTAGCATCAATAAAATTTGATGATTCTGGTAAATGTTTTATTTTTAATAAAACATCAAAATAAATGTAAAAGTTTACCAAGTTTATGAATGTATAAGTAACATCAGTAAGGTTTGACTTGATAATTTCAAATGAATTAAACATTAGGTTACTTACGCCTGTTGCCCCTCGTGGAGAAGCGAGCATAGGTCACTCACCAGAATCCGCCATCAAACTCTATTGAGTGTTGGGTAGATAGTTATGAATAAAAATAATCTATTTGTAGATATCCAAATGAGGAGAAAGTTTAAGTGTTTAAATTTTCTAACGTTTCAAGACTCGACGGAAGTTAGTTCTTCAGAGAATTAATAGTACCTGATAGTACGTGTAAATGCAAAGTGTCAGTAAATATGTTGACAGGTTTTAAGGACAATCATGCTGACCATCTAACTGCTTCTGCTAAAAATTCAAAAAAATCCTCTAAACTTCCACATTAATTCGAATTATCTTTATTATTTATATTAGCTAAACAAAGATGTCAGATAAATTGAAATAACCCCAAATTATAAATTTACTGTCTTATTAACAACAATACATTGCATCATTGAGTGGACATGTAGTTCTAAGTTATTGTTCATAAACTCACACCAACGGTAATCAGTATTTATCTTTATAGATCAAAGATCATGAAAGCTGCGGTGTCTAGTACCATGTGAAACACACATAGATTAATCTAGCTTCCTAACAGAAAGCTTTATTCGTTCTGCTTGAGTCATATTTTGACCTTGTTAATTATTCGTTTATAAACCGTGACTGCTTTTATATGAGAGTATATGTGTGTAGCAACCGAAATATTAATATTTAGTCTGAACGCAGAACTAATGAAGCAAAATTTATTCTACTAAGCCAGATTACGTTCTTCTGTATCTCACATGAAGCGCTTTTGTGTGACTCGTATTAAATCGTATTAAAACGTAATCTCTGTTCAATTTATACGGTTCTCAAACGGTACAGACAGGGTTACACAATCAAGCGTTTCGCTAACACAAACCAATGCACTGAGAATCAATAAAAATATTGCCAACAAGACGGGATCAGATATCGATCTGCAAGGATTCCAGCAACTTTTCAAAAATGACAGTCACAGGTTAACTCGGCTCTTGTGATGTTGTACAGAAGTGTAAAATAGCGTATACTGAGCCTTAGCCATTCGAAAATTCAAACCCCCCTTGTGCATTCAGAAAGAGTTTGTTCTCACCTTAAACCTACACTGAGAATATTAGCCTATTATCTAGAGTAATTAGCTTTCAAGTTGTTTTCACATTATTATTTTCTTTATTATACCTGTCTACTCTCATCCTCTATTTCTAGTCTACTTGACCTTACATTTTTATACGTAGATGTTTTTGACAAGTGTATATGAGATTAGATTGTTCGAAGTGTTTCGCGCTAATATATCATTACATACATCTCACATTACTCCTTTTCTCATCACGCTACCGAAATTTTTCAAAGGGACTGATTGCTTGAAATCACTAGCTCTAGATGGTAATTATTGGTTGCTGATTTCGAAAACGTGATATGAAGTGTAAATATTTGTCGACTGATCACCTTTTCTCCAAAATATGAACGCAAATTAATTACAAATTACTAAGTGGATTGTTTTGAACGTTGTCATGGACAATGACAACGTGTTCTTGAATACGTTGTATCTGCTAGCGTTCCAATCGCAGCAGTGTTCCTTAACACGTGATCACACATTTTCAACAACAAGTTAACCAATCACATACAAATTTTTTTAATCACAGTCAGGAAATCTTCATCGCTAGAGGTCAGGAACCATCATAAACATGCAATAAATGTCAGCCAGACCTACGGACCCACAAATGATAGCAGAGAGGACTGCAATGATCATAACTGAAAACGGTGAGACATAAACAAAAGCAAATATAGCTCTCTTTCGAGATGATAACAAGCCCTGAGAATGCATCATTGTTCTCATCAACAAGTTTCAGATGTTTCATAACCTGCGAGTAGGGTAAGAGACAATTATCAAGCGCGACTGCGTTGGTAATAATGAAGCTATAACTTCAAAATACTGGAAGGTACTGGGCCGATGTAGTTCTTTTCAGTTGTAGAGTACCTGAGACAGATGTCAGCATCGTATAGAACTCCTACCAGGAATCGTGATGCAAATGATACATGGATGGCAGCTCAAAGGACCTGTACAAGACAAGTTTCCTTACTCTCATCGTTTCCCTTTATTTTCGTTGTCGACTAGATTGTGAAGACCACATCTCAAGAGGTTCGCGGGATGCAGCTTAGACGCATCTGCATAATCTTGACTTTGCAGACGACTTAGGATTGATATTATCAAATAAATAAAGTTAGTGTGGTGGAAACTCCTGAAACAGTTTGCTCTAACGTTCACGCGAGAGAAAAAGAAATCGTGAGATGTGACACAGCAGTCAGCAACCGAATCACACGTCATGGAGAAGTTCTGAAAGAGGTGAACGCTTTAACGCAACTAGGTATTATCACTGGCAAACAAGAAAGATCCGATGCAGATGTGGAGTCACGAATAGCGAAAGCGAGGTCAGAATTCCTATAGTTTAAGCATACCTGAAAATCAAAAGTCTGCCAACCATGTTCGCAATCAGAAATGTTAAAACAACTCACTTGAACAAAGATGAAGCTTGATGACGATCACAACGCTCGTCAATGAAGTATAGATATTTATAAGCGGCTATTTGGAGAAGATACTCCAGATTTACTGGCCACATACCTACCTAACGTGTGAGAGAACAAACCAGCTGTCAATTGGAGGATTAGAGAATGACGCTGTAGGTCGATCGGACACACTGGAGAAACCAGTAATCTTGATCACAAAGTAGGCCTTAACTTGACGTTCTCAAGGCAAAATGAGAAGAGGTAAACCGCAGAATGTAGTGAGGCAGGAACCGGAGGTAGCCATCAAGAGCATCAATAGGGCTCCGGAATAACTTTAGAGGAGAGTCAATTTCAGGGTTGTCAGGAGGTTCCTGACCGGTGGCCTATTTTGCACGAGAAGTAACAGGCTCAAATAAGCAAGTAAGTATTCTGCCGACAGTAAGCATTACAGTATAACCCATAAACACTATCTAAAATTACCCGTCAGGACATTTTGACAGACTGATTCTAGAATCTCAAAACTTACATTATATTGTCCAGCCACTTGGAAAATTATCTAAAAACGTCTTTTTAGTTTCCTTTAGTGCATATAATTAAACCCAGTTCGCCTAATTTTATTCGTCCTTTATCCGAACTCTGATGTTAACTAACACGTTTCTATTGTGTATATGATAATTTCTCTATTTAGGAGAAATGTACATCAGTTTGGGCAATGTGAATATTTCATTGAGCTCAGATTATGAATTAACAATAAGTGATAGAGACTGTACAAAAACACTTTCTTTGAAGCCACCAACCGAAGAAGAGAACATTTTTAAACATGGATACCGTCCAGGATCTTCGTAAGTTTAAAACATGATACGAATTGAGTTAATAATTCACTTGTTCCTTAATCACATCAGCATCATTATCTTAGTCGGTAAACAAAAAGACCACAAGGTAGATTGATTGACTTTTGATTTCATAGAATATTGTTGTATACAATCCGTATTTTATTGACCGTAGCTGCTACCTTGACGCAGTGGTCGGGCTTGCCAATTATGATGACCTACCCGAGCTATATTGGCTGGAACCCATGTTCCTGTAGGTTCTACGATGCCAGCAAGGTCGATTGGAGAACGGTAAGACTAAAAGCAGCAACTCAAGCTCTGAGGGCGAAGTCGTACTGCTGACTGTATAGAGGTGTGACAGCAGTAAGGTGTTTCCCTCGGACAACCGGCATAACAGCGATGCTGCCTTCCCACAAGGAGGGATGGGGTTAGAAAAGGTCGACCCTAAAAATGTCACACCTCACCCTACCTCACGGATTTCCGTCTCCGGCGGTAAGGCTGAGGCCCTTTGAAGAACGGAGCGAACACATCAAAAACCTCCCACAAAAAACTATGTGCGACCGGCCTCAAGCAGTTGTTCCTTGGGCTCTGCGATCACGCTCCCAGGTCTTCAAGGCAGACATCAATCCGGATTCCTTTTCAGGTTCCTCAAGAAATACCCTTCCACAGTGTGGGGAGCCGGGAAGTGACATCAACCCTCATACCCGTAACAGCACATGAGACCAAGTTGGTCATATCTAGATCATTCCTACACCTCCTACTACCTCTTTTATCTCCACGACTAACCATTCTCACATCTCTTTATCACCTCGCATGCCAGGGCGAACGATTCGAGCACGCGGAACGTTATTCCTAGTCTCCTGAAATCACGCTCTAAACTACACAAAGAAGCTTTCAACGTCCGAACATTGTACCAAATAGGACAACAGGCTTCCTTAGCTAGGACTTTAGAATCTCGCGCCATCGATGTGTGCTGCGTCTTTGAAACGCGCATACAGGATCCAAGTAGCGTCATTCATTTGACCTCATCATGCCAAAATAAAGAACCGACTCGATTTACGCTTCGTGTATCTGGAAGCCCTGATTCTGCTTCCCGTGGCCTCGCCGGCGTAGGTATGGCATTGAGTCCTAGGGCAGAACTAGCTCTCTTAGACTGGATCCCAGTAAACAGTCGTTTGTGCGCTGTCCGACTGAACGGAACAGTAAGAATCCGGAAAGATAGGGACACTCGTCGTTGCCTGTTCGTCGTCTCTGCTTATTCTCCCACTGACTGCAGCTCAGATGATGTAAAAGATGAGTTTTACAGAAAGCTTTCGGACCTTCTCCGAAAAGCTAAGCGCTCGGATGTAGTAATAGTGGCCGGTGACTTTAATGCTCAAGTAGGTAAACTAAGTGAAACGGAAAGACACCTGGGTGGATCTTATAGTGTCGTGGCTCAAAGAACAGATAATGGCGACCGTCAGTTGCAGCTATACTCAGATAACCGCCTGTTTCTTGCAACTACTAACTTTAAGCATAAGGAAAGGCATCTTTTAACATGGCGACCGCCTAATTCGTCCCAACATTATACCCAAATAGATCACATCGCTATCAGTCACCGATGTACGGGCTCTGAACACAACGAAGATCGGAGTCAGCTTAAGCGCAAGCTGACAAGAAGCCTACGCAATGATCGCGAACAGTGGGGATAGCGAGAGCAAGAGAGATAGAATAGGCAGCGTCAATAGGTAATAGCAGACAACTTTTCAGACTTGTTGAGGAAACCGCTATTAGGAACTCGACTGTTAGCGAAACAATCTCAGAGAGAGATGGACATATTATACATTCTCAATCACTTATTGTGCCAGTCCATAAGAATGGATAAAAGTCCTCTTGTGACAATCAAAGAGGAATCAGTTTGACTAATATAGCGTCTAAAATATTAGCTTCAATAATACTTCGACGCCTAACTAAAGCTCGTGAAGGGCAGAGTAGAGAAAACCAGGTTGGTTTTCGACCTGGACGTGGTTGTATAGACCAGATATTTACATTACGTCACGTTCTAGAACACAGACACACATTCAGAAGCCCCACAATCGTAGTATTTCTCGACCTTAAGGTGGCATTTGACTCTGTTGATCGTGAGGTTCTGTGGCAGTGTTTGTCACTGAAAGGAGTACCAAAGAAGTACATTAACCTTATAAAGGCTCTTTACTCGAACACAACTTGTTGAATGAGAGCTTATGGCGAATTGTCATCAGAATTGATTACCTCAAATGGTGTTTGTCAGGGCTGTCCACTCTCTCCATTCTTGTTCAACTTTGTCGTTGACGTGCTTTTGGAGATGGCACTTTCCTCATTCAGGCGCAGGTGCATCCGCTCTTTGTGTTCTCCAAAATTCTAGTCTTTTGAATTTTTCATGTCCCTTTATTTTTTAGAACAACACATATAAGCGAACAATTGTTTCCAATTAGATCGTCATCAGGCTTTACTCTAATATACATAAATATTTATACGAAAATTTTAAACCAATCAACGCAATATGGGTCAATAATCACCATGAAATAGAATAAGTCACTACACATAATAGGTAAAAGTACAAGTTGATAGTAGGAAGACAGGTGAACTGATAATAGTGAGAATAAAGCCTGATGACGATCTAATTGAAAACAATTGTTCGCTTATATGTGTTGTTCTAATTTTCACAATAGGAATCTTTAATATCCTTTATTTTTTCTCTTTCAAAATTTATTTCGCTGGATTATACTCTTTGAATAACATCTTCAAACCCTAATGTTTCCGATCACTGCCTATACTCTTACTACCACTACCACTATGTGATTTAACTCGACAACTGCATCTCAGTGCTAATGTGGTATGGCAACTCGAACCAATGTACGCACGTGCGAAGTTCTACGTTGTTACTGACTGACTGACTGAGAACATATGCAAGCAAATCGCTGTTGATAGAAAATCCATAAGGTTCCACACTCTCAAACGCCTTCTCATAATCAAGGAAGTCAATGTATATTGACGAACTTCAACCAAGTGATCGTTCAACCGTGGTCTGTAGTGTCACGATTTGGTTCATGCATGACCGATACTTACGGAATCCGGTCTGTTGATCTCGAAGTTGGGCGTCTGCTGAATGTTTCATCTAGTTCAATAATACTATGTAGAAAACCTTTCCTGATACTGGCAGTAGTGTGATACTTCTGTAGTTCTCACATTTGCTTAGAACTCCTTCCATCAATATCTTGATGTGCTATCCTACTTTCCAGTGTGTCGGTGGCAGTTATTCTTCCTCCGAAATTTTCCCGAATAGAACGTGGAGCATGTTTGTAGTTACTTCTATGTCTTACTTGAGTGCTTCTTCTGGTATATTGCCAGGTCCGTCATTGGTGGAGTTACATCAGTAGGAAGGTCTTTGTGTGGTGCTTTGATGTCCGGCGGATTCAGGGGAGCCGGTCTATTGAAAATTTCTTCAGTGTTCTATCCACCTGTTCCTCTGTTCCTCAATCTCAGTGATTGACTTGCCTTCTTTGTTCTTGACTGGTCGCTCTGGTTTACTATTCATCACTTCTTCCACACTGATCCCGATGCTCCAAACTGACTGTACCAATGAAATAATCTAGTTTCAAGTTCGAGCTAGGAGCTCGTTCACCTGAATTTAGTCGTCTGTTACAGGTATGGTTTACATGTCACCCATTAGCACATTGACGTTCAGTTCTCTTCGCCTTGAGTTTATAATCTCGCTTTCTTGTTGTTGTTGTTGTTGTTGTTGTTGTTGTTGTTCTTCTTCTTCTTCTTCTTCTTCTTCGTGAATTTATGCTGTCGAATGAAGTTCGAATCTTCCTTGCGAACATTGGCTCAGTAGGGGAGACACCCTTATGCGAGGCTGGATTCAGGGTTATTACTAATGAATTTCTCGGTCGCGTCCTCCTTTCCTGATAATTTTGAAAACCATTGGAAAATTTCTATCTCCATTTGTGTATCATATGAATGAGGATAAGAAGATACTTGGTTGCAAATAAGATTGGATGACTGATCGAGCATTTTTGAATCAGGATTACAAATAAAATTAAATGGATAATCGAACATTTTTGATTTTGTGATGTAGTCAAGACCCAATGGATTGAAGGATTAATCAGTAACACAGCATTTGGATTTGGTTGTTGAGATATTGGATTTGACTGTAAATTTAATAATTTCAGAAATTTTCATTACGATACTCGGTGCATTGTTTGTGCAATCGTTATTAAGATGAATGCTAGGTTTTGCGGGAAATCCAAGTCACATCGGATGCAGTGTCCAATTGTAAAGTGATAATACAGTCATTACGATAAATCGATAAATACTTGCGTTAGCATTAGGGGTTAGACTTTGACAATACATGAACACAATCAATCGTTTCTGGCATTCGATGATGGGATGAGGGCTTGCTGCGTTTGCAAAATTTCCACATTTTGAGCATTTATGTTCATTGCATGGGCAGAAATGGGAGAAATGCAATGCACCACACTTCAAACAAATAGCGGAGGGCCATGTAGAGCAACGTGAATTCAAGTAATGGACATCATACATTCAATTCGGGCGAGGAACATTTTGCGAATCATGCTTTGCAACATTAATTGTGCGATCTGGATGAGAAATTTTCACCAAATCAAATTTATTTGGATTTGGACGTTCGATCATTTTAGTATCAACATGATAACATTCATTTGTGATAACGTTCGACGTTATATTGGGATTGGACTGAACTCTGCCTAGAATTCTATTACGAATGTTTGAATCCGGCATTGATTTCAACCATCATACAAAGATAAGGCACTTGAATTGTTCGTCAGAATGTGAACACAAATTAAAACTCGCATTGTTCATTAACAAATGCTGCATATTAAACCAAATCATCTTCAAGTATTTTAACAGGTCTGATTGTCGTCGATTGACCTTTTGCTACTTCTGAATGAATCTCCATATCAGTCACAATGATTGTTCAACATATTTCATTATTTTCACACACTAGCCTTCTGTTTTTCTCAGTGAATTATGCTTTGAATAGAATGATTACTTTGATTACATACTCTGTCAAAATATACAGGCACTAGATATAATAGTCTAAATCATTTTAATCATACGAGTGAGAATCTACAAATCGTTTTATGATACATAAGGCTCTATGATAGTAAAATAATGGATCATTTTTCGAAAGTCCGTTTCACTATATGGTCAGTCGCAACGTATAACCTGTACGTATGTACACCCCATTGGCACAAGAAGATTATGTTGTCAGGCCGAATCCCAGAATAGTAGAGATAGTGAAAGTATTAGTATTAATAGGAAAGATTAGGCACCTAAGATACGACTCCAAAAGAAAATACCAATTAATTAAATAAAACAAAAAACAAGTTATTAGAAACTGATTATCTCAGAATTTGAAGAAACACTATGAGTGGGTGCACATGCTCAATTGTAAACGATTTTCATCCATGTCACTCAAAGTCCCTTACCATTGGTTGCGATAACCACGTGGAGCTTAATCAGTTAGTCTACATCTATTAATATGACTAAGTCCGACCCTGGATTCCTTCCAGCCTACGCTCACACCAGAAAACATCCCTGATCGAGATAGGCGGCGGTTGGGCATACGTAACACATGTCCAACCACTACAGTTGATGACGATTTACTGGCTCACCAATCGATTTCCCATCTTTAACTAGTACTCCATTCCTAACCCAGAGATTGTCTACTCTGTGGTCAAAATATACACAAGCAATGCTTAGTAGAGATATCAGAAACCTACTAATATCCCCTACTCTTAAGGGCCACGTTTCAGCACATAATTATCAGATGAATAAAAACTACATTATTGATGAAAAAAACAATGCTTTGATGTATAAACCTCAGATCGCTACGGCGAATATCACTCTAAACTTTTGTTTTCTCATATCATTTTAGCTTATGCAAAAGCTGGTTCCTTCTGAAACGACCTCACAAAAAGAGAAGAACTGAGTGTTTGTTATCTGATTTACTCTTTTAATCAGAATTTCCATAATAAACGCTTTTTAATGAATTGTAGTGTTTAGCACTATTTGCTTTGCTTTCGAATTTTCTTGGTCATTAGTTTTGACTCGAAAAGGGGTGTTTAACAGATGTGATTAAGTGACTGTTCTGACCAGATTTATTCGTGTAGTATGTGTGTTCTAGGGGTCTCGCCATCCGACTTCAGTGGCGTAACAATAGGAGTGTGTCCTATCTTACCACATTTAAAACATTTAGCATTGTGAAATGCACATGAATTAAGAGAATGAAGTTTGTCATAGGATAAACATTTACCAAACTTGATCACACCTTTGTAATTTACTTTGTAATTCCTTGTTGGAACACCCTTCATATTTACACGAGAATAGGAATTCTTATTAAACGAACGCAAGTTTGATTGACCCTGAGATTGTACTCCATCCTGTCTAGAAGCTTTCTAGTAATGTTTGAATGTCTTCATCTTACTGTTAATTATAACTTTTGACTTGATCATAAATATTCTTTAGTTTCCAATCGGTAATTGTTTTGGTGTAAATTTATTGATACAGTCATTTGCAACCTTAGAAACTTCAGTGAATAGTGTTTTATTTCATAAGACATATTGTAGATAATTGTTATCAAGACTGTAAGGGACCCAAGACGACATTTCTTCAATAATACTAAATAGTTGCTATGATTTCATGGTGAATTTCATGAAGATGCATATGATGAAATTGGATAGTAATATCTAGTTATGTTATGATTCTTATTTCACTAGCCTCATTTGAAGACAATTCTTAGTGGCTCGAGATCTGACTCTAATTAGATTGTATGAATGATTGTTATTGAAATATACATGTCGGCTATCCTCGTAAATAATTATCGACTTATTATATGTTGAGATTAGATGGTGGTTGGAGGTAGTCAACAGGAAACCCTGGACCCGGGTTTCGTGCTACTTGGCACTCGTCAGCAAGGTGTACCTGTAATCTTGAGGGAACTGGTGTGTCCCTGGCGGATTCGATCTCGTGTCACCCAGCTTCACAGTTAGAGACGTTACCACTGAGCTATCCGAGCCGTGACTAACCTCCTGTAGGACTGAGATGTAATCACAATTGATTGATCACTGGGTGGTGATCAATCTCATGCTTGTCAAGTCCTTATTAGTGCAGATCGAATGCTATCGATCATGTTGCAATGTGGCCACCAGTCTAGGTGACTCGACACTGCGGGCACAATGTCTCTGACTGCGAAGCCGGGTGACACGAGATCGAATCCGCCAGGGACACACCAGTCCCCTCAAGATTACAGGTACACCTTGCTGACGAGTGCCAAGTAGCACGAAACCCGGGTCCAGGGTTTCCTGTTGACTACCTCCAACCACCATCTAATCTCAATACATAGTGCCCGCAGTGTCGAGTCACCTAGACTGGTGGCCACATTGCAACATGATCGATAGCATTCGATCTGCACTAATAAGGACTAGACAAGCATGAGATTGATCACCACCCAGTGACCAATCAATTGTGACTTATTATATGTGAAAATTATATTTGAAATGATTTCCGGGATTGAAATTTAAATAATTTCAACGTTTCGTCCAGCGAACTTGCCTGGACTTCTTCAGGGTAGAACAGTCAAAATCAAAATCATCAAAGAAATATATAGCTGGACGAAACGTTGGAATTATCTAAATTTCAATCCCAGATAATTTCAAATATAATTTTCACATATAGTGACTTTTCTATACTCGGCGCCCAATTTTTGTCAAACTATTCGTTCTAATCTTGACGAATATTCGTATAAATTATTGACTTAATCCGCGTCAGTGAATAACGGAATGAAGTAAGCCAAATACGAGGAAGGTTTTCGGATACGTATATTTTATACAATCATTGATCCAAGCAGACAATTAAAAGAACAAAGCGAAACCAAACGATGCGCAGCGAATGGAGCGAAGCAAAATGATCCGCGATGGACAAGCCGTGTGAGCCAACTCTATTTAATCAAGCGCTAATTGATATTTATAGTCACACAAAAATAAGCTACTGACATACGATGAGTAGGATCAGATGTACACACACACGCTCAGTCAAGTTTGATAATTGAATAATTAACAAGGTCAAAACGTGACCCAAGAAGAATGAATAAATTGGCCTATCCAGAAGCTAGAATAAGTTATATGGGTTTAACATAGTAACCGACACTATGACTTTCGAAAGTGATTATAACCGCATCGACATTTCATTATTGAATTTATAAAAACTAATGGTCTAATGGTCAAACAAACCAAAAAATCAAACATCTGAATTCCAATATTAACTCAGAAACTCAAGTATTGTGAACATCGTTCAAACATGTGGGAACTACTTAAAGAGATTACAGATGAGAAACACATTAGTGCCGATGACATTAAAATAATGACATTGACGACAGGTAAGAAACCATTCTTCCACAAGCTCCAATTCAACGAAGATACAGATAACTGTGCAATACGGAACAGAGTGGCTAAGGCGATGGAGATGACATTTTATCCAACTAACCGCCGTCTATCAGTTTCCACACGGCTTATGATCGTTCTTCGACTAAAGAATAGGTTACTTGATTTTGTCACATCCATTTGATGAGAAGATGAAGATTGTCAGAATTATGTGATGATATATTAGCGCAATATATTACGAACAATCTGATCACACATAATATACTTGGTAAAAACATCTGTGTATAAAAATGAAAGGCCAACTAGACTAGAAATGGAGGGTAAGAGAAGAAAAGGATAATAATAAAAGTAATAATAATAATAATGTGAACACAATTTAAACACAGAGAGGTTTTGAATTTTCGTATGGCTAAGGCTTCAATAAACCTTAGTATACACTGTTTTACACTTTTGTACAACACCACAAAAGCCGAGTTAAGATCAATCTTATGGCCTATTTCGATTACATGTTTAGCAATAGAGGATGATGGATGTTTATCCTCTACTCTTATTGGATCACTTGATTCTATTTGTTTCAGCAACCATTTTCGTATATGTCCACCCACCCGAATACTGAGATCACGATTGCTCCTCCCTATGTATGTGTGACCATACAGACATTTAAATTAGTAAACACAGTGAGATGTGATACAATCGTTTTCATGTCTTTTAGGTTTTGGATGACGCATGCTATACATTTTGCTGATGACTGATTTAAGCCTTTGTTTCAATAAAAGTCTATTAGAATCACCTCTAAATGGTAAGGTGATGTAGACAGGCTTTTTTACTGCTAATGCTATAGTTGGTCTCACTACATCATGAACGTTCCATCTATTTATGTTTTGTTTAACAACCTAACATCATCATCAAGTGTCATTTGTGCGAATACAACTTTATCAAACCCCATTTGTATTGCACAGGGCAATAACTGTAATAACTAAACTACTGGACTGTTCATGTTAATTTTCTAAAAATAGATCATTTGACTGAGCCATCTTCTTATCTACTTAGAAGTATATCTAAGAAGGGAAGCTGATCGTTCTTTTCTTCTTTACATGAGAGACTGATGTGGTTTTGAAGAGTGTTACGTTTATTCAATAAATAGTTCATATTATCTTTTCTTTCACAGAAAACTAAGATATCGTCCATATATCTCTTATGCAGTGACATGTTTTCGATTAGGTCTTCAGCTAAATTTTCAATATGTGCCATGAACACATCTGCTAATAATAGTCCTAACGAACTACCCATAGCAACCCCATCGATCTGACAAAAGTATTCATCTTTGGACTTTGTCAATACATAATAGTAGTAAATCTTTAAGAATTTTTGAAGAAACAGGTCATTTAAGGTTGCTCAAAGATATGTACTCACATAATATATAAAGGTACATTTGTGAACCAGGAATTTACGTCCATCGAACACATTGTTTCTCTCTCTCTCTTGATATCAATATCACATATATTATTATTTCCCATATCTTTTGAGTGTATATTTTCTTTCACCTCCTTTCTCAAATATTAGCGTCACTGTTTAATCACTTAAACAATTGTTATTACGTAATTTTGATAGTTTTTTTTTCATAAATGTTATTTCATTGTCGATTTTCCCATTGTCCTTAATCTACTACCATTTAAGAAATATTGATTCAACCTGTTATTATCACTATCACAGCTAGTACACCTAAGATTAGATGGTGGTTAGAGGTAGTCGGCAGGAAACCCTGAACTCGGGTTTCATGCTATTTCGCACTCGTCAACAAGCTGTACCTGCAACATGGTCGAAAGCATTCGATTTGCTCTAAATAAGGAAATGACACACATGACATTCATCACCACCCAGTGATCAATCAATTGTGAGCTAGTACACCCGTCATTCAACTAGCGATGTACACATTTTCATTTATTATGTTTGTTTATATAATCTGTTGTGTAGTTTTTATTGAATTACAAATCACATTGACGTGTTTAATATTTTCATATTTTCACACAAACGGTCAGTCAGCAACAACATAGGACCAGGCACATATATACATCGGTCCAAGTTGCCATACCTTATTAAATAGGAAAGATTATGTCAGCGAAGAGTTCTCTTTTCGGCGAATTCATTTTCAAAGCTATACAATCGCATATATATATGCTTGTTTTAACAGGATGATAATAATATTGATAATAAACTTCTGTTATACATGGTGACAGCGAGGTTAAATAAACAAAGGTATTAAAATAAAGAATTTTAAAACACGGAAAGTTTAATAATCGTTTGATTGTTATTGGCTTAAGTATTCATCAAAAGATAGATAGGGAAATTATCATTGGGAAAGGATGGCTCAGCATGATAAGATAAAATGTTGAAATAGAGATGAACTGTATTCGGAATGATCGTGGAAATAAAAACAAACCAGTTGGGGGTAGAAGATTTAAGGGGAGAATGGAAGTTGAAGCAGATGGCTGTAAAGGAACAAGAGTATGAAGAAGAATAGGTTGTACCAGATTCTTTTGCACACACAATTCTGGTTTTTCCAGATGTATGGATATTGC